GTCGTTGACCTGGCGCATCGGCGGCTACGTCAGAGTCGACCGGCCTGCGCTTGCCGCCGCCCCGCGCGGCCTCGCCCACGCGTCGCCCTCGCCCCGAGATCTGCCTGCCACCTAACGGTTCCCTGGGTTAAAGCCCCCCCGACCGCGTCCGGCCTCGCCGCCCCGTCGCGAATCGCCCCCGCGCGCCCTCGCCCCACCTCGCGATTCGAACGACGCTCTCGCAGCGTACATGACGCTTCTGACGCCTCGTTGTGGGCGGACGACGACGACCAGCGGTGAAGAGTGTTCGCCGTCAACGGCTAAACAGATTTTGCACGCCATAGTGGGCAGCACTATTGATCTGCGCATGCGCAGATGCACAAGAGCGACCCGAAGCTTCAACTGCGCATGCACAGAACATCGATAGTGTTGTTCGCGGTGTCGTGCGAAACCTATTTTGGGTCGGACTCCATTGCACGTAGTGGGCTGAGACCTGGCTCTGGGGAGTACCGCTAAAATGTGCTGTGAAGTTGAGTCGGACCTCGGAACAGTTTGAGGTGGTCGGTATACTCAAAGAGCAGTTTAAGCGAAGGATTCTCGCGACTCTCAATCATGGATTATCGGGTCGAAATGTATACTGCACAACAAACGTGCATATCTTTTTTATTCATAGAGCCATCCAAGACTTACTACGCTTCTCGGAAACACTTCCACACTACAAATCCTCGAATATGAGCTCTGGGATAAACTCGTCACTCTCAAACGCAATGTGAATTCATATGAGAATATTAATTTGATGATGTGTGCTCACTTACTATAACTTCTATATATCTATATCTATTCTAACTATATCTAGTGTGATTACTTTCGAATTCGAATTTCATTTAAACTTTCTGAAATAACGTTTCGCATTAATTGTTTGCATCGGCTAATGCTTAGCTTCTTTAAAGAAGAAGAGCGTGCTTTCTGTTACAGGATAATTTAAGTAAGAATCGCAATTTATTAATTTAGAGGAATTAATTTGCCGCAACAGCAAGATAATGTCACCAATTAATGATGTAACAATGATGAACTTATTATTACAGTTGCGTAAATGTGCAATGAATGTATTGGGAAACGAAGATAATTTAAAAAATTAAGGAATTGAAACTATCAATGCTGGAGAGAAAGTATTTCCGTTGTATAAGTTCTGTATATTAGAATATATTTTATAAAATAATTTGAATGATCGAAGTTCGACTTCGATAATTCGAATTACCAAAGTTGGACAGATCAGATAGCATGTATTATAAAAGTTCCACATATCAAACTATTCGAATTGTCGAAGTATGGCATATTAAGTAATTAGAATTACCGAAGTTTGATTTGGCATATAATTCGAATTATGGATCTGTGACTTCGATAATTCGAATTATATGAAGTTTGAGACATTGACTTTGACTTTACGTTTTTGTTTACCGTACGTTTATGCAAACTCACCGTGCACTCAAGCGAAGTGTAGTGCGTGGGCGCAGCCTCTTTAAGGTGTGCGGTGTGTGGTGTGTTGCAGTGCCCGTGTCGCGGCCGGCGCCCGCGCGCACCCAGCGCACGGTGCTGACGCGCATGCGGGAGGAGGTGCCGCAGGGGCCCCTCGCGCTGCTCGCCACCTGCGCCCAGCGGCGCCTGCGCGTCAAGGTGAGCCACGACCCCTCCCAATCTCGCCAGTGACGGGGAATCGGAGTCGCTCTCAGAGATTCGTGCAATCCTCATTCCGAGGCGGAGAATCCTCATGTACCATTAAATTTTTTGGCAACCCAATTGTATTAACATAGATTTCTACTCCTAATCTATCATGTTTTTGTCCTACTTCTTTTATTATAATCACTTAAGAATGTTTTAATTCGATAACATACGTAGGTGATGCCATTAACTGATTTAATTATAGTTGTACCTTTTAAAAACTAACGTTTTCTGATAATTGTTCGCATATTTTAATCTTAAATTTGTTTTAAATTTTATTAATAATATATTATTGTTTTATTATTATATTAATATATTTATATTTAGCATTCGAGACATTATAAGGATTCATTCTGGAAATCTTGGAATTAGATCCTATCTGCAATAGAGTCTTAAAATCAAATGTTTTTGAAATGCACCTAAGCTAGGATTATCGTCTTAGTAGCCAATCTGCGTGTGTGCAAATCCGGATTATGAAACGTACGCATGACCCTTACGACACTTCTTAGCCGCAATCCCACCAGGCCACTGCCCACGTGTTTGGCAACGTCTTCGCTTGCGCCCTTGCCGTACACCAATTCACAATCAGTGCCGGAGCTAGACAGTTTTGGGCGCGGGGCAATGCTAAAACGTAGCCCCCTGTCCCTAAAAAATGTATTAAGAAACTATAATTTCATGTCAACCAATAACAAAAATTACGTGTGCTAGAAAAAGCATTTTGTGATCACATAATACAATTTCCACGTTGAGCTTAAAACGCTAGAAAATTGTGTTTAATAAAATCATTGTTAAATACATGAAATAATAAATATACATTTCAGTAGAACGTATTTTAATTGTGGCGACACTTGAATCATTTTGTAGACCCCTACTTATAAGTAATGACTGTAATTAACTATTCAAGGTAAAAAAAATAATTGAAAATTTTATGAAATATCAGATTACTGTACCGAGACTTATACAATTACGATAACAATTTTCTCGGATGTTAATTATTTTTTCAAATTTTTACTCTTATTTTTTCCCCATCAATCCCATTATCGGGATCTTTGACTTGCAGGGCCCCGGGTGATCCTCCGATCTGTCTGTGCCGAGCGCAGGCACTGGTCACAATACCTCAAAGCAATTTACAAAACTCACAACCAATCAATCTGTGTCAATTTCCAATTCTGATCCGTCCGACGGCGGTCTGCAGAAGCTCATCAATGCCGCATTGTCAGCAACCCGCATTCATAATCTCACTTAGGGAACCAAACACAGCTAATTAATGGGAACATTAAGATTCTTAACAGAATACGTTATTGCAATGTACTGAAATTTGGGTCATGTATCCCAATTTTTTTGAACCAGCGACACACATTGGTGGACCTTGAAACGTAACATTGACACACACCGTGCAGGCCAATAGGATTTGGTCAAAGGCGAGCAATCACTGTGCGGAAAGTTTAACATTTAGAGAAAATAAAATATGAGAATTCTTAGTTCAGAGCAATGCAAGGGAAAAGTGAGATTTTTATAACCTATTAAAATCTTTAATCAGCGGGGAGAAATACGAAAATGATGTGATACATTACCTACTTCGATGGCTTTACATAATAGTTTGTAATTTTTGCAACTAGAACTTCTAGGATGTCTAAATTTTAAACTACCTCCGGCGGATTACTGCCACTCTCACTCATCTCCTCTTGCTTTGTCTTTCGGTTACTTTCCTTTAACACTACTTTTCCTTCTGCGGACTCCTCCTGCACGCGCCGGGCGTCCTTCACTTTCGCCCCAGCAGAGTACGTGTGTGCGTTTGACCAGTGCGAGCGCGCTGATCCTATCTATCTCTCACTCCCTATCTGCGCCTGGGGCTCCGTTCCACGGAAACGCCTCGGCGTGGTAGCGCAAGCCTCTGTGGGTTAGTGGTACCAAGGTGACTGGGGCACCCGTCTAGGAAACGCAGATCAGTTGGGCCCTGACACCCTTACCTACTGTCGGTATCAAGGTTGCGCCTCGCCTCGCGCCGCGCCGCGGCAACATTCGACCTTGCGTTCCGTCTGCGGCGGCGGCGGCGACCCGCTCGGTAAAAACAGTTTTCGTCACCCGGCCGAGAGAATGAGTTGTCACTTCGGGCGTGAGTAGGCCTCTGGCTGCCGCAAGAAATAAAGTTGGCCGAAATTTTGTGCTAGATTTGTCGAGCGCCATTTTGTTCTTAATTACGGCCATTGCGGGTGTTTGGAAGGCTCAGTACTGAAGGGCCGAAGGTGACCGTTTTTTTAAGAGTATTCCGTGGTTGAATCTAATGGAGAAGGGGAAAGTGTATGGAGTATGGAATATTTTGACTTGAGGCTGCAGTTTCCGATAACCTGTTAGAAGGAAAGTGAAAGAGGTGTTAAAATTAGAGCTTTCAAGGAATTGGAGATAATTAGGTTTAATTAATCAAGGTGAAATTATAAGATCTTAGTTCTTGGATAAAAATTTTAATGCCCCTCTACATTAAATTCCCATATTTTTAATGCAAGTTACTGTGATGTTTGGCATTTACAAAGACGTAGAGGTTACAGAACATTAAGATTTAAACCACACACCAGCCAAAATTCTGTATAACAAAACTTTCTCGAAGAGTGACTCATTAGCATTATTCTAGGCGCAGTTTATCTGACATTTGCTTGGCATTTTCAGCAACCATGTAAGCGAGCACCCGCGAGTAGAAACTTTCACATTTGAAAATTTTTGTAGGTTAAGGTCCCGTCGCCCCAATTCGATCACACACTTGATCTACTTCGAGTTTTATTGTGCATCCGATCCAATATGCTGCGTGCGACGTAAGTGAATCTTGAGTTGGCGAGGAGGATGGACGGCGAATCGCTCGCTACCCGCTCGCTGAAGAGCGGCGGCCCGGTGACTGGGAGGGGGCGGGGGCGCTGAGTAGGGTCCGCCCGTCTGCACCGACGCTCCGCCACTTTCTCTTGTCTCTCGAAATAATTCATCTCGGCTCACGGCCGCCCCCCGCCCTGCACCACGGCGCGCTACTTCGGAAAGACATCGGCGACCAGGGGCGCTCTCTGGAACGCCGCTTTCGCAACGTGGGCGTTTGCGGGTATCGAAGTAACGGGAGCGCAGTTTAATGGTTTATTGAGAAAATTTCAAGGAGATATTTGCTTGCAACGTTTTAAGAGTATTAAATTGTTTGAGGTTTTGACCGGAATGACCGTTTTTGCAGGGTACGTAAAAGAGGCATTTGGCGTATGTAAAATACATATCCAAGTGGCGCGAAGTGACGGTCAATATTGTTTCCTTACTAGTACTCGTAAATAAAAAAAAACAAAATCGTACATTGTTCACATAATTCACTAGACTGAACCAATTATGGCCCTGTCATGCAAATTAAATTGTAACTTTTGATTGTTTATTTTCGGACAAATCCAACATTTACAGACCATTATATTATTTGCCGTGCACGCCATTTGTTTATTCTGCAACATATTAGTCTATTTTAATGTGGTGTACCTAATATAACAACAGTTTGCAGCTTGCTTTCCCAAAAGGCAACATTTTTAATGAATGTTCTTATAAATGTTCATCCTTGGTCTATCCGTTTTTTTTTTTTGTTTTTTTTTGTTTTTTCGTGAGCTTTATGAAATTCAAAACAACGTTATTCAACGAACACGAGTAAATTTTTTGAAGTCTTATGTTAAGTTGTTGACGCTCATTAATTTACGGATAAGGACAATAAATTCCCTGGAACAGCAGGGTGACGAAGTTTTCTTTGGGATTACGTTCACGTTAGTCACACGCCAAGGCTCCCATCGCAAGCGAGTAAGGGGAGGGCCGTGGATCTGCAATGGGTGAGCGCTGGCAGCCCGCGTCCTTTTAGGGGAAGAGGCGGTGAGGGGGGGGGGTGCGGGGCGCCGCTGACACACATTCTGTGGCACAGGCGAGGGCGGCGGCCGCGGCGGCGGTGGCGGCGGCGGCTCCAGGGCCGTGCGGGCAGCGAGCGACCTTGCGGGCCGTCACCTTGAGCGCACCGCCCGCCGCCGCCGCCGCCAGGGTTACCCGATGCACGGGGCCACGCGCTGGAACGCCGAAGTTCGAAGCCGCCACTATCTGAGCACCCATCCCGCCCACGATTCGCACCCCTTGGGCTGAGTTGTGTTCTACCTGACCCAACATTGGTACCAATTCTGCCCTGTCTTTATTTCCGTTATGGAGAATTCGATTCGCTGTATGTGATTTAGACAGGGGAAAGTAGTATAGCCGTACAGGTATTAAAACTCACGGATCACACGGCGCTCCTTGGGACCTCATTGAGAGGGAGATTAGAAAGTTATCAGAGAAGAATGTCGGATAATCTTCTAACTGTAATTTTTATGTACAGTGATCGGTGCATTATAGTTCGCGGGCTGCAATTCGAAAAACGAAGTTTTATGATGAATGTGTTCACAGATTTCTATCTGGGTGTATATGCGCATAAGACTTAATAATTGATGGATTATGAAACATGTGTAACAAAAAGGTTTCATAGAAGTTTAATAATAATAATAATAATAATAATAATAATAATAATAATAATAATAATAATAATAATAATAATAGTAATAATAATTTTATTACGACACAAAGATGTGATAATTCGTATATTTCGATTTGTGCTAGTCTTGCTGTTGTGCAGTTCACGTACGATAATAAATCCTGACACCTATTTATGTCTTTCCATAATACCATGCCTTTGTCAGATACATCTATGGTTTCTCCCTCATCCCTGCAAAAATTTGAGTATCCCTCCAAATGTTGCCGGCGGATTCCTAAAATGTTTTTAAGGACCTCGAGAGAACAGGCAGCAGCAGTCTACCAACAACGAAGATTATTCGGATGTACCTATAAATCCGCGTTTTGAAACTCGCCATTACGGGAATGTACGCAATGCCTTCCTGAAATATACGCAACAAGGGTACGAATCTTGAAACCCAAGC